GTTACATGAGTTTGCATTATAAATTGGAGAAGTGTCTTCACTTGTTATTTATTACACTATGATAAAGAATAGATTGGACAGCCCAATGTAAAAACCGCTCGCTAGATACGTAAAGTGGTCAGGCGACTAACGACAGTCCACATCATAGACTCGCTTATGCCTTGCCAGGTAAAAAAGAGCATCTTTGGCGGACTGGTACGAGTTTTTGGATCCGAGTTATATGCCATGAAGCCTCTCAAATGCGCGATTGGACCTTTCTCTTTTTGAAGACCAGGGTCTTTAGTCGCTGACATGCCTATGACAGCCTGCAGGACCCCTCCAAAGAGGACACTGCACTCCAGGTCGTAATTTTATGGCGATGAGGAAAATGATATTTTACACGCGTCAGTCAGAATATCCGCATGAAAGTGAGAAGCATGGGACTTTCCGAACCGATTCAAATGACTTTCAATTCATACAATTCCAGAATGTGTTGATGCAGAAATGGCCGATGGCAGCTTATTGGATCCATTGTTTGGCGATACTCATGCGGTCTCAAGTTTGCATGTAGTGCTCACGTATGACGCTCAAAATGAGAGATTCCGAGGAGATATTATGGTACTCGACACCATACAACTCCTGTTCAATCTCTCCCCCTTCCTCTCCCCCACCCCCACCCCACCAGCAATGGTATCCCTCGCCGGCCGAGGGGGGCGGGTGCCACCCCCATAGGGGTTTTCGCGATAGCTCCGAACACTCTGGCGATAGAGAGCTGAAACTTGGCATACCTGACCTTTAATTCAAGCCGGATCTTTTGACACCAACCGCATTTTCAGGTCAGGTCAGGTCACTGACTTATGACGTCATAAGTGAACCTCTGCACGGTCTTCAGATGTCGCAGCTTCGCAGCGCCCTCACTGTCAGAGGAGCTTTCACGGGGAAATGAAACTTGCAAACTCTACCTACCTATCCATGAGTCTCACAACTTGAATATCTCGGATTTTTGTCTTAACCCTCGCCCTGGCAGGGCATTTTTCGTAACACGGCCTGGCAGGGGGGGGGGGGTCGATGCGACCCCCCTCGCGATTGGCTCCTATGGCACCTAGAAACACCAAATTTGGTAGGTAGTTGGGTCCCCTGGAGTTCTCGGCGCAATATATAATATTTTCATGAAAAATGTGCTTGGCCTATAGGTAAATAAAACGGTAGTAACGATAGATCCAGTAGCGAAGCTGTTAAAATCTAGCCTATGTTAGCCCGCGCCGGGCTGGGGGCGTCTGTTTGAACCCCCCCCCCCCCCCCCTGTGGTTTTGGCACACGTGTTCGTGCATCTTTTCCGCACATGTTGTTCAATTTCAGACCCAGGTCGCCTAAGGTCAGGTCACCAGGTCACGCCAAGTGACCTCACCTCAGAAAAAAAATAGGTACGAATGCTCGTCATAGCTACACCGACTGAACGATTGCCTTGAAACTTTCAGCGATTGATAAAAGTAAGATTATCTATAAAATGTTTATCTCGGAATTTTGATATCGGTGACCTAAGGTCAGGTCAATTTTGCGGCCTCTCCATTACCTATAAGTCAATGGGAGAAAATTGAAAAGCGTCTGTTTTGCACGAAAGCTATTCCAGACACTCTCAAACATCGAAATGTAGGTAACAATGACACACTGAACCGGAAATGGTAACTGTGACCCCTCATTATGTCCCCGAGGTCATCTCAGGTCACGAACAGAATCTAACAGTTTTTCGCTAATAACTTCTAATAGAGGCGTGCTAGAGCGATGAAAATGCCTTAGATGTGTTCGACTCGACGTTGCAGATCGACTGATATGCAGCATGACCTTTTCTGGTCAGGTCATGACCTTGACCTGAGGTCAAATTATAGTTTATTCGACGCGTCTCGACGAGAGGAACACGATGCTGGCAAAAGTAATGTCATGGCTCTTTTGAGTCAAAAGGTATTGCCGAAAAAAAAAGTTTTCGTAAAAACGGCTATTTTTAGTGTTTGCCCTCTGGAGGCTAAACCGTTGACCTGAGGTCAGATCTGAATTCAATACTCAGAAAGGTCTGTAAAAGGGCTATCGAATGCGCTTTTCCGCGGCGCTGTAGCTCTATCGGTTCCCCAGATAGCCGTCGGTAGTTTCCAAAATGTTGAAATAGTCAACATTTTACCTTTGGTGACCTCTGGTGACCTGACTTTTGACGTGACCCAAAAAATGACCGAGTGTTTTCGTCCTTATTTTGGACGTTCTTTCGATTGCCGCTTACCGCGTGTCGTTACGTGGCTCAAGAGCCGAGTTAGAAGTACCCCTTATTCGCGCTGCGGAGCAAGCGTGTCACCCTAGTCAGCCTGCTGGCGGTAGGAGGCCGCGCCAGCCTCAGTGCGTTGACCTCCCCTCCCCCTCCCCCTCCCGCGGCGCCGGCCGGGGTCGGGTGGCCGCCGCACCTGCCGGAGTCGGAGTCGGAGTCGGAGTCGGCCGCACCTGTTCGCCGGGGGATCTCCGCTCTGGCGCGCACGCCGCACCGCCGATCCCGGCGTGCTTACATACCACCGCCACCGGGCACACGGGGACACTCCGGCCGGTATACTATTAAATGCCGCCACAGCAGCGGACTCTGGAGCCATGGCAGAGTGGCATCACCAGGAGTTTGGACAGATTTGACAAGTCTTCCAATGTGTTCAAAGGGCCTTTTTCAGATAAACCTGCGCCCGCTTTGAAGTCTTCCTCGCCGTGGTGGGGTTGAGGGGAGCGTATTTGGTCACACTGCAGGCTATCTCAGAATGTCGGGCAAGAAATGTCACAGAAAAGCAATAGATAGCTCGTGCTATAAGATCTTCCGGACGTATAAAAGTCACCTTTCCATCAGGTCATTGCTGTGGTCACTGGAATTCGCCAACACTAGAATTATCGCAAACGATTTATGCCCAATTTTAACATTTTTCCATAAACCGACGCATAACCCTGGAACAAATTAAGCTGAAGTGTGTCCCTGAAGTACCCGAACATGTACATTTTTGTACATTTTGTATTTTCTTGCTTAAGTACAATTGCGCTCGATTCTAATGATATACAAGTATCGCACATTTATAAGACGTCCCTTAGCTATCGAGCTTGCAGACTGCTTTTGGTGACCGGTCACGACTTGAGTCAATTATTATCCGCAGTCAGCAAAGAGCAGTCTTTTTTGGTTTTTAGCCTAAGCCATCAAAAGGCAATCATGGTGAATCAAGTGCTGTTCTCAACTTCGTAAACGTACTTTCGGCATGGTTCTTGCTGGAGAGCTCCAGCAGACAATCTGCAAGGAGGTAGGAGTAACCAAAGCGCAGTTATATCACCGAGCGAAGCCAGAGAGAGCAAGAGATAACCTGGTTGACAAACCTGCGCGTGGCCAAAAAGAGAGCATGCATCAGTCGTCATGCTGATGGTTGTCATGGCATGGTCAATAGACGTCACTGATCTATAAAAACTAGCTAAACGGCAGATCAGGGATAGCTACAGGACATAATTTTACTTTTCAGTTTTCACCATTACCCATCTCCGACAAAATTTTGGAACTTGTGTTTTTTTTTGTAATTAAAAATGGCAAAGCTAATGGAAGAGCAGCGCAAATCACTGTAACTCCGCAAAAAAAAATCATAATATATACAAAAAAAAATGAAGCAACTCGTGGTCTAACGAAGGTGTTCTGTTCCTCAAACAAGGCGCGTTATGCCAGTGTATGCCGTGCCAGATGGCGACAACGTCCCAACAGCGGAGAAGGCCAGGCACAAATCGAAAACAAAGTGTGAGACATTGTGAGCCACACGCCCACGCAGGCCTGTTTCAGGATGCACCGCTGGCGTCCAGGCGCCCTCGGCCCCCGGCTGGCGCGTTCCGGTGCTCCCTGCCCCGGCAGCGCGCTGGTCCCACGGACAGCCTCGCTTTCCCACGGTGTTTCCGGCGGACAGCGGGCGCCGGAAACGGCGCCGGAAGTGACTCCTTCCGCGGCTGCCCAGACGCACCTGGACGGATCCACCGCTGTTACGGGTGGTGTTACGGACAGATCCCCACACATGTACTCGTTACATTCCGTAGTCCGTACCTTAAAAACAAACACCATTTGGAGCATATTTGGAGTGCTCATAGGTGAGCTGTACATGTATTGGACATGTATGTGTGTATTTGCATTGGACACCATAATGAACCGACTCCGACAGCTATTTAAAGTGACCATCCCATTCCCACCTTAACATTAGATTTGAGTTGAGATAACCAAATTGTTAGCCAAATTGGTGGCCATGGCCTGCAAATACCGGTTTAGCCACTAAGAGCGTCTAGAAATGCCTCAATACCGAGCTATTTTATTTCGAAGTCTGCATTTTTCGGATTCTAAATGGCTAATGCGTTTGAATGCCCCCTTAGAATTTGTGACGTCAGCGCATCACGTCAGATTTTCAAATATTATACGAAAATCTTTCGCACAACATGGTGGACGGTGGTATAGGTATACATACTGCCTTGCGCGCAACATATGCCGCATTTTTAGTATGCAAAATTATTGCTTCCAAATGACATGCTCGGAACAGCGGAGGCTTTAAAAAAAATAAAGTGTAATATCTTGAGAACCGGTGAATATTTTTCGGTGATATTTGGTAGAAAATAATTTTTGCTCTTTCTGAACCACGGTCAATCACTTTTATGAAGATGGGACGGTCCCTATAAAGCCAACTATCGCTGCCGGCCCAGGTGTCGGTGATTGGGAGCCGTCTGGGAGATGGAGCCGTCGGTAAACACCAGTCAATCAATCACCTCAGCACACGGCGGAGCCGTGCCTAGGCACGTGCCCAGCTGACCAATCAACGGTCTCCGGCTCCGCCCCCCGGTTGGCTCCGACCAATGAGCGGCGACTGGCCCGGCACGCCGCTCGTCTCGGTCACAGGCTGTGGCAGCGTGCCGGGCGGCAGGTGGCGGCTCGGACCGGGAGACTGGTAATGGGTCCCCGCGTGACTCGGCTGGTCCCGACTCGCCACCCGCTGAGTCAGTCGAGTGGGGGACTCCGAGTCGTGAGCAGTGCTACAGGGGCTCCCGGCTGACGCAGAGCACGTGCAGGTCGTGAAAAAAAAAACGAGGCTTCAGTGCAGCTGGAAATCTGCCAGCAGTCCTGCTGGAGATTGAGAAACGCCGAAGGCTTCTGACAAATGTGAGTAGCTTTAGAAGGTGGAGCTCGTTATAAAAACCAAGACACTGACAAGTTACAATTAACCGCTAAGGTATACCTACATTGATTGATTATTATTTCTGGTGATCGTCTCCAACAGCCTGCCACGTGTAATCGCTTCTTTTTTATGCCCGGCCTCCCATGTCACCTTCTACCCTCCCCTATCATCCCTTTCCCTCCCCAACCCCTCGCCAGGTCCTCCGTCCCCTGCTCAGCAGTGCCGGGACTCCAGCCGGCCATGGGAGCCGCCTCTGGGAAGGTCTGTCGGTCTCCACAAACTGCGGCCTTGGTGTTACGCGGCTTGATGTTACCTGACACCATTGGTTTCCAGGAAGTAGGAACACATCCACAAGCTTCGACGCTCTAACATGGGAGAGTGTTCGAGTTTGCTGATGTTTCCATGGATACCCAACACAACGGTACCAGTGGCGTCAGGTAGCGTCAAACCATGAAACGGGACCCTTGGTTTTACGCGGCTTACGAGACTCGACAGCCGGGAACGGATCTATTACACCTCACCGGGCGGCGCCGAAATAATAAACAACTACTCAAATGGTATCTTATACCTAAAGCAGGGCATTTTAGGAGTTGAAAATGTCTTAACTTTTGAAAATGCGATTTTGATTGGACGTAAGTACCTACAACTCTGAACTTCCTAAGATGCCTATGACACCAGCTCGAGTGACCAAAGTTGTGAAAGCCTTATTTGTACCTACATACGGCAAACAACCATGGCATATGATTTGAACTGTAGGTATAAGGACAGACTGAAATGATAATCACTATCAGCAGTCACTCACCGGTAGCCGTCCGTCCAGGACACGCCTGGAAGACTGCAGCGCAGGCCACCAGACTAACGTCGAGACGTGGCGCTCTCAGAGACTTCAATGTAACACTGCACGATAGCATGCGTAGAGCGGCTTACAGGGACTGCAATATAGAACAACACAGTAGCACCGACGTATGGGAGACTGCAACGTAACACCACACGCTAACACCAGTTTCTATAGAGACTGCAGTACCGCCGCTGTAGTAACACCAGGCTCCTGGAGACTGCAATACGACACCACACGCTAACACCACAGTCCCTGTCCGCTCTCAGCTAATTTGGGGCGTTTGTGACGTCCGAAAGAACCTGTCATCCGGTGAATATGTCCGAGTTTGGGTTTGACGTTTTTTTTTTTTTGCATATCTGTCCATTACTTCCTTCCGCTTATCTTTGTCAACACATTTTTACATCTTGACAGCTTTCCGCATCAAAGTATTGGTAAATGTGCTCTAATATGCATGTTTTACGTAGTTCACTTCTCTGTATTCATACATTAGATAACCACACTCCTTATTTGGTTTATTCGCCAGCGCAATCCGGCAGCCCTGGCGCCGTATCCGGAGCCCGCTCCGTCTGCTGCCGGGTCTCCGCAGCTGACCGACCTACCGGACCAGTACAGATCCATGGAGAACTCCCCGAGCCAGTACGGAGCCGTGGGGAGCCCACGGAGCCATCCGCAGGCTGCTCTGGATGAGACCGCCGGCCACCAGCCGCCCACCACAGCGCCGGACGAGGCGGGCAGAGGAAGACGTAAGTGACGTCACTGGAATGCAGCCAAGCCCTGCTGGTCCCTGTTGTGAATTGCCAGACGGAGCCAGACGGAGCCCCCCTAGCACATTCTTTTACATTCCAGTATCCTAACATGATAAGCTCTGTTGTCATTCTCTTGTGTCCATCTATTTATGCACGCTGTGCGGCCCGTCTGCTGTATCTAACTGTTGAGTCCGTCTGTTGTGGTCGACTGCCCAGTCCTGTTGTAGTCGACTGCGCACTGCGTCTCTGCGCCGGGGCACTGCCCTCCCCCTCCCCCTCCCCTCCCCCTCCCCCTCTCCCTTCCGGTGGTAGGTTCCGCCCTACAGTTTTATTACAGCAGTCTTCACTCGTTAATAGAGCACACCCAGGCGGCACGGCGACCCGTTAAACGGACACGCTTCGTGGCCGGCGGGGGTGCATCATACGGAACTAAACGCAGGGTCGAGGGTGGAACCGGGACTAGATAGCGGACTTATATTGAGCTGAATCCTACCAAAGGCTGGTCAGCGCAGACAGGTTGGCTTGAATTTGATGCTATTTGGCTTTATTTTAACGCAACCGTAACTCTCTCAGAAAACTGGAGCAGGCAATGAAAGATCCGAAACATACGCAGGTAGCCGGTGTCCGATTTTACAGCCGATTCAGCCTCAGTATGACGCGTTATTGCTGGAGTCGGGGCGTGCCCTTCTGACGGCGCTCAGTCAGCGCGTGCCTGGTGGCAGCGTCGGCGGCAGGTGACCGAGGGTCTGCTTCCACCGTCTGGGGGCCGGGCTGGGGTAGCTAGTGATTAGCTAGTACCGCCCAAGCCGCGGGCAGCTGCTCAGCAGGGCAGGTGCCGGCGGACCACCCACTTCCGGCCCTCCGAGGGGGGGAGGCAGCATGTGCCAGCACCGTCCACCCAGGGAGTGAGCCCCGACCAAGGCCAGAGCCGGCCCAGTTTCTCACGCTCCCCCCCCCCTCACCCGGGCCACTAGGATGGCGCCGTGCGGCTCCCAGAGGACGCCTCTTTGTTTGTCAGCTGGCGCTCAAAGCCAGACACTGTTTTGTATTGTACTTCACGCCATTAAGTACACCTAGATGAATTGTGGCTGCTCTGTGCTCAGAAACCACCGAGTTTAAAAAGAGATGGCACATTGGATCGGCGTAGGTACACAAACATGCGATAGGAACATGTACAGAGTATTGCATACGCTTTTACGGCATGGTCAAGTCCCATGTGGCAAAGGCAGGGCTCACGCCATTAGCCGTATAACTCGCTCTGTGAGTAGATGCTGTCGGCCCGTGCCCCATCAGCCGTATAGCTCACCCTGTGAGCAGCTCCTGACCGCCTCGTGCCGCACCGGACGCACCACCGCCGTGTGACAATTACCCTCCACCGCCTCCACTCCTCCAGGGACAGGTGCTGCCGTGTTATAATTGCCGACCGGCGCTCCTACCAGCCGCCCGGAAGTGGGGGGAGGGGGGAGGGGGAGGACCAGCCGCGCCGTGACGACCACCTTCCGGGCCGGAGGAGACCGCGTGGGAGCGGGCAGGGGAGGGGAGGCGTGCCGTGCCAGCGAACAGCGGGCATTCGGGAAACGCGTCAAATGACCTAAAATCGCCCGAATTAGTGCTACTGTGAATCTTAGAGGTTAAGATCAGTGTTTTATAGGAAATATCTGGTCGACTTGTGCGGTGCTACGAATTTGTTTCTTACGCATCTGGTCCGTTTCCCCTGTTGTCCCCTGTTTTCAATATTAGCAATGCACTAGTCCCCTGTACGCGCTGTTTCCCGACCACTTGTGCTTAACTTGTCACCGTATCGTCATATTCACGCCTCCCAACCCACTTTGTGCCGCACCCTGTTATCACATTGCACTTCGTGTCGAACCCCTATTGTGCACTGCACCGTGCCCCAACTCTGCACTGCATTCCACCGCTGTGCACTGGTCCCTTTCTGCACTTCTTTATGCACTGCTTGCAGCACTTAGCATGGTTGGTACGGCGTGTGGCGGCGGGCAGCATCTTCCTCTCAAAGGTGGCTAAAGGCGCCCCCACGCACCTCGCACGACCTCAAACAAGACGGTGAGTCCTCGGTTCAGCTGCTTGCATAGTAAAAACTATTCAAACAATTCTGAACAACCTATAAATGAGAGGCGCGCTTTTAGATAAAATGTGCATCTGACTTGCATTGTTATCACCTCTCCCTCTGACATCTGCCCGTATCTGACCCCAGGGACCTGTGATCTCTCCCTCTGACATCTGCCCGTATCTGACCCCAGGGACCTGTGACCTTCCCTCTGACTTCTGCCCGTATCTGACCCCAGGGACCTGTGATCTCTCCCTCTGACATCTGCCCGTGTCTGACCCCAGGGACCTGTGATCTCTCCCTCTGACATCTGCCCGTATCTGACCCCAGGGACCTGTGATCTCTCCCTCTGACATCTGCCCGTATCTGACCCCAGGGACCTGTGACCTTCCCTCTGACCTTCCCTGCCTGACCTTGAACCACTCTGACCTCTTCCCTCTGCTCCAGGACCCTGCCATCTGCCGTCTGACCTCAATTAATCTCACCTGCAGGTAACTCAACCCTCTGTGACCTCCCTCCGTCTCTGACCTCAGGTCACGGCGGTGTGAACCAGCTGGGTGGCGTGTTCGTCAACGGCCGGCCGCTGCCCGACATGGTCCGCCACAAGATCGTCGAGCTGGCGCACAACGGCGTCCGCGCCTGTGACATCAGCCGCCAGCTGCGGGTCAGCCACGGCTGCGTCAGCAAGATACTCAGCAGGTGAGTGAGAGACGCTGTAAGATACTCAGCAGGTGGGGGACAGACACTGTAAGATACTCAGCAGGTGGGGGCAGGAGGACAGACGCTGTAAGATACTCAGCAGGTGGGCAGATAGAGACGCTGTGATAGATACTCAACAGGTAACTCAGACGGTAACAGATACTCAGCAGATAATGCGAGATGCATCAGCATACACAAATGTCAGGTCTTATTTTAAACGTTAGATAATCCGTGCTCCTGTTTTATATTCTCTGCCCAAAACCCTGCGTGGTGTCTCGCAGTTTTTCATCAACAGTCTTTCCTACTAAAAGAAAATCGCTGACCTCCCGTTATTGGCGACAGGTTTTTCGAGACAGGAAGTTTCAAGGCGGGTGTCATCGGGGGCAGCAAGCCCAAGGTGGCGACGCCGCACGTGGTGGACGCCATCGCCAAATACAAGCGCGAGAACCCGACCATGTTCGCGTGGGAGATCCGCGACCGGCTGCTGCTGGAGGGAGTCTGCAGCCAGGAAAGCGTACCGAGCGTGTCCAGCGTCAACAGGTACGGCAGACTGCAAACTGTAGCACAGCACAGCAGAACAGGGAGTAGCATTACATGGCAGTGCAGGGCAGTCAGCACGCCATTATGTGCCAGTAGTCCTGCTATAACCCGTCATTGCTTTGTGGCGGTATTTTCCATTATTGGGGCTAAGCCGTTCCTGTTAACTGAGCTCGGAATATGCAACATAGGTGTTTGGCTTTGAAGCGTGTCAAATTTGTCTTCTTGCGTTACATGTACGTTTTGTTTACGCTCAATTTACTCGACGTTTCACTGACCTCCGCCGTAACCCCGCTGTACCCCCTCCCTCAGGATAGTCGGTACCCTCCCGTGACCCCTCTGTACCTCTCCAACAGGATAGTCCGTAACCGCGCCGCGGACGCGTGCCGCGCTGACCGGGACCGGCCGGTCGGTCAGACCACCTCGGTCATAACCCACGCGCCGCCGCCGGTCCAGAGGAGCGGGCACAGCATCAGCGGACTGCTGGGGCTGGGCACCACCGACACAAACGGGAACACGCTGAGAAAACGGCCCAGAGAACAGGGTGAGGAGTGAGGACGCAGCGGGACGCAGGGACAGACAAAGGCCGGGTACTGGGCAGACGAGTCGGAATCATGTTAGGCACTCATTATGTCCGTCTCTCCTCGAATTTCGTCCATAAATATCATCGATATCAACGCGAATCAGCGCCGTTTCGATTCTGGTGTGGTGTTTTTGTGATTGTTCACACGGCACGTGTATGTCTGGCTCCGCATGCTGATTGATACGTCTGTTCCCTCAGACGCCCGAGAGATGACGTCATCACCAGGTGACGAGGGAGCTAAACGTCAGAGTCTCCAGCAGCCCGGATACCCGGCCGACCCGACCGGCTACCCGGCGGTGAGCTAGCGGAGTTAACGTACACCTTTAGTGGTGTACCCCCCTAGTAGCATACCAAAGGCGTTACTATTTTGATAGGTTTGCGTGTTTGGCCTGATAAGGAAGGCATAATGTGATCCAAGATCCTTCAAACACCTATCAACTATTGCACTATGAGAAAAAAAAAACAAAAATCCGACGCCCCTCTTCGGGAGACCATAACAGAGCAACTAGGAAAATGAACACTTAAGGCCTGGCTACACTATGCGTTTTCTGCGTGCGTTTTTTGCGAGTTTGCGTGATTCGCGGAATATCGTTCTAGAAAGAAACGACATTACGTTTTTGTTTTATGTTTTTCATATAAACTTTTAATTAACATTAACGTTTTATTAACTTTTATATAAATATTAAAGAAGTTTAATTAATAATAATCTTTTTTCTAGAACGATATTACGCAAAACCCGCAAACACGCAAAAAACGCACGCAGAAAACGCATAGTGTAGCCAGGCCTTTAGAGACGCTTCGATGCTGCAACCTTAACCCTATTCCTGGCAGGGGGGGGGGAAAGTTTGCAATCACGCCAGAGCTAGAGTTTTTGACCGATCAATTTCTTCTCTTCAGGCTTTAGTTAGGGTACCAGTATGTGCAATTTGTATATCTCGGAATTTTGATATCGGTGACCTAAGGTCAGGTCAGTTTCGCGACCTCCCCATTATAAGTCAATGGGGGAAAAATCAACTCCCTGTTTTTACCACTAAAACGGGTCGGAATGGCCCCATATACCATAAATGACTTCATATACGATCAACCTTCATTACCTTGAGGTTTGTTTTGCTGCTGGGCAGCTGTGAGGTCATGTGACGTCATCAAAGGTCACCAAAGGTTTTTGGCCAATAACTCCGTACAGGAACAAGATACAGACGCGTGGATGGTCTCATTGTGTTCAGCTCGTCAAGACGCATCGAATGATATATATGACGACCTCGAGGTCACGTGACCTGAGGTCAACCTTTGACCTTGACCTTTCGAGGTCAACATATATATCATTCGATGCGGATTGACGAGAGGATCACGATGATGCCCTTAGTTTGTTCCTATCTTGACTAATTCGAAAGTTATTCGAGAAAAACTCTCCATATCTAGCGCCGCCATTTTGACTTTTTCGACCCCTGTGACGTCATCTTTGACCTGACCTGAAAATGACCTGAGTAAAAAATTTAGATCTTGACCGTGCGTATCCGATGCCGTTTACCGTTTTTCGCTGCGATGTGTAGTTTTTTAGATCTGAAGGGGGGCCGAATCGGCCCCCCCCCCGCCAGTTTCTTGTCCCGGCGGAGCCCGCCAGGAATAGGGTTAAAGTGTGTTATTTCTTCATATAATTCACTTGATTGTACGTTTTATCTATGAACTCATTTCTATCTCCGCAGACTATGTTCGGTCGCCCATCGTGGCCCGGCGCGGAGTACCCCTGCGCCGTGTCGACAGACGTGGCGATCGGTGCGCCACTGCTCGTCGACAGGGACGAACTCGGCGCGACGCTCCACCCCAACGGTACGGACCGGGCTGGGAGCTCCGCTCAGACGGTACGGACCGGGCTGGGAGCTCCGCTCAGACGGTACGGACCGGGCTGGGAGCTCCGCCCAGACGGTACGGACCGGGCTGGGAGCTCCGCTCAGACGGTACGGACCGGGCTGGGAGCTCCGCTCAGACGGTACGGACCGGGCTGGGAGCTCCGCTCAGACGGTACGGACCGGGCTGGGAGCTCCGCTCAGACGGTACGGACCGGGCTGGGAGCTCCGCTCAGACGGTACGGACCGGGCTGGGAGCTCCGCTCAGACGGTACGGACCGGGCTGGGAGCTCCGCTCAGACGGTACGGACCGGGCTGGGAGCTCCGCTCAGACGGTACGGACCGGGCTGGGAGCTCCGCTCAAACGGTACGGACCGTGCTGGGAGCTCCGCTCAGACGGTACGGACCGGGCTGGGAGCTCCGCTCAGACGGTACGGACCGGGCTGGGAGCTCCGCTCAGACGGTACGGACCGGGCTGGGAGCTCCGCTCAGACGGTACGGACCGGGCTGGGAGCTCCGCTCAGACGGTACGGACCGGGCTGGGAGCTCCGCTCAGACGGTACGGACCGGGCTGGGAGCTCCGCTCAGACGGTACGGACCGGGCTGGGAGCTCCGTTCAAAGCTCTTTCCTGCCGTACAGAGGGAAAGCACGATTACGCTAGGGTGACCACTGACCTGACGTTATGAGCCTGACGTAATGACCTGACGTAATGACGTATTGGCCTGACGTAATAACGAAATAACCTGATGAAATGACGTAATGACCTGAGGTTATCGTATTCGCCTTTGCAGGGCAGGTTTTATTAATACAATATCGATGTATTTTGTTTGAACCTCTTGCCTTCAGACATCTTTGATGCATTGTATGAAGTGATCAGAGCGACTTTTCTGGGAAATACATGGGATGATACATGGGAAATACATGGGAAATACATGGGTTTTATTTCACCGCCTGTTTGGGGCCGATCGGTACTTGCCATGAGATTTCCGGGCAGCGTAGCAATGCTTCCACTTGGGTTGGCATTCTAGTTGTGCGCAATTTAAGACTGCAGTTGACAGCCTCGCCGTGCCTCAGGCTCCCCGGTATGCCTGCCTCCGCTGGCGACTCCGAGCGCTCCGCTGGAGGAGCAGTGGACGACAGCAGCGCCCCTGGCGGGGACCGCCGACAACTACCTCCACCACGGTGGGTAGCGAGAGCTTAACTACATAATTAACAGCGTAATTACTGTCTACAGCCAAACGAGGGCCATCGATATCGGTCTCGGGCGCACACACACCGAGCTACCGTGTGATTCACAGGGATTATGGGATAAAAACGGAATCCATTTTCGTTGCCATTATCCCACTATTCAGCTGAGCGCCTGCACAGGTGGCGCTGGAGGTCCTTGTCGCACTGAAAGCCCGTGTCACACCGGTCGGCCACTAAGGGCACGTTTCTGCACTCTGTTCACAGGTGGCAGCACTGCGGGACTCACCGCGCTCACCCCTCTGCCCGCCCCCAGCACTCTCTCCTGCGCTCCCTCTCCTCTAACTCCGGCCGCTCCGGCCCACTCCGTCTGCTCCAGTCCGGTGTCGAGTTACTCGGCCGACCGGCCGTCTGACACACCCTCCCCGTCCAGTGGGTATCGCTCCGGGCCCTCTCCCCAGCGCTCCGCACTCTCCCCGGAGCACTCCGCACTCTCCCCTCACGGCCACTCTCCCCCGCCCCATGTCCCAGCCGGCTGGTGGCCGGCGCACAGCGGACTGGTGACGTCATCACAGACCAGTGACGTCACGCGAGACGGTGAGTGACGAACCAATCGGCACGAGCCTACGGGTCTGTTCCAGTCGCACTTCCTAACACCTCTAAACTTCTGCAAGATTGCTTCCCTGTTCCAGTGGCAGCTCTAGCCCCTACAAATCCAAGGAGGGCCCTGCTGCAGCCTCCTCTATCTTGCTCTGTGGAAGAGTTTAGAGGTGTTAGGAAGTGCAGCTTTAACAGACCCTACGTCACTATGTTCCGGTTACGTGGGGTGGTTCTAAAGGGAACTGAGCCGGGCCTCTGCAGTCGTGGGCCTATGAATTGCTATTCCCTGTGCTGAGCAATGAGCGGTGAACGAAGGTATAGCTAAATCTGTGAGGAAAAACCCTGGATAGGTTTGTCTTTGAAGTTTGAGCAAATCCCGGATGTCGCTCTATTCAGGTGCCGCCGTGGCTCTCGTCGACTACAGCGCCGCTTACGGGTATCCACAGAACTACAGCTTCCACCCTAGCCCACCAGGCAGCTTCATCAGCATATAGCGTTTCAAGGTAAGCGAAATGTGGAAGCGAAATGTAAATGTGGAAGCCAAAAATGTATGTATCGTAATTTATCAACAAAATAGGAAACACATGAGCACGCTCACTGGGAGTTACGTGCTGACTTCAAAAAGATGTTTCGTAATCGTAACACGGCAAATGCCCGCGTTCATCGTGTTGTCTCCCAGCTCATTTACAGCTGAACTATCTGTTCTGTTACAGAGTGTAGCTGAAATATGGTCTGCGCCGCTTGGATTGGAGAACGAGCACAGTCATCTGTACATACGGAAACTGCGAACTCCCCTGACCTCTGGCAAGCTCTATCCGAGCCTGAACACTGCAATACTCTGAGTGAAAATATACCAAAGTGTTGTGATTTGTGAATCCCCTCCATTTCATGTGCACAAATGTATAACCCGTCGACCGTAGAATGATCAGTGAATAGGCTTGTTCATTTCAGCTCCGACTATCGGCTGCGGAGTACTCGGTAGTTCCAGATGTCGGCTGTTGAGTACTCAGTAGCTCCGACTATCGGTTGCCCAGTAGCTCTGACATGCTACATCAGTAGCTCTGACACGCTCAGAGTAAATCTGAACGTGGGTGGAAGTACAGACAATGCGCATGTGGGCATCGGTCGTCAATTGCAGCACCTTAGAACTCACTGTGCAATCTGCATTCACGCTACAGCGTCTGATTAGGTACTGTACGCGTACCGTCATCGTGAGCTGTTTCCCGGCACTTACCGGGGTCGGATATGTGACTCAATACATGCTGCACCCCTAATAATGGGCTATCTGGGTTGGAGTCGGAGTCAGAGTCAGAATCTGTCAGAGGCGACAGCTCTGACCAGAGTCGGCGTCGGAGTTGGAATCCATTTGGGAAACCAGAGCCGGAGTCACAGTCGCGGTCACCAAAAATCCGTCGACTCCGCAGCGCTGCCTAATCACATTGCCCCCAAAAAATGGTAAATAACTTTTAAAAATACCCATCTCCAATTCGAGGGTTTTTTGGACCAAAATTGTGCAAGGAATCCGATGGTGTGGTCCTCAAAATTTGAAAAAAAAAATCCATTTTGGAGATAGCACCTAATTTTTAGAAAAAAATTGCTATGCATTATAGTCAAATAAATTGAAAAAAATAATTATTCAATTTTTGTAACAACACTAGAATGTGTCGAACATGAATAAGCCATATGTTTTAGCTGAAATGATGCTATATCTGTGATATATCTAGGGCATATATCAAGGAGTGCGTAAACAAAAAATGAGCCTGATCGGACTTGTCAGCCGACGGCCAGAGCCTGAATTGTGAACAAGCAAAAATGCCGAAAATTTTTACTGTGACCTGACCTGTGACGTCATCGATAACCTCGAGGTCAATAAAAATAGGTTTCGCTCGACAGTTTTTCCAGGGCTATCAGACACCGTTTAAATTTTGAAGACCGGCCCAGAAGTAGTTTCGGAGAGAGGAGGGGGCTCAGGAGAGCCCCCCCCCCCAGTCACACACGTAATGGAAAATACCACAGTCATGCGCGAGCTAAGCAGAAGTTAGGTATGCCAAGTTTCAGTTGTGTACCCCAGCGTGTTTTGAGCTATTGCGAAAAATCCTATAAGGCGCCACCCGCCCCAACTCCCCCTCCCCAGTCCTCGGCCGGCGAGGGTTAATGTACTAGCCTCATGTACATGTATGCCCAGATATAGTACCATTTCAGCTAAAATATATCATAACTTCATGTTCGACACATTCTTCAACTTATTTGACTAACTATGAGTATTCATGACAACTACTTTTTTTTAAATAGGTGCTATCTCCAAAATGGAAAGTTTTCAGATTTCGAGGAACACACCATCGGATTTCTCGTAAAATTTTGTTCCAGAAATGAATAAAATCTGAGATGGGTATTTTTAAAAAGTTATTTGCTGTCTTTTGGGGCAATGTGTAATACCAGTCAGAGCCATCTGGGCCGGCCGGTCGCCCGACTCGCCGGCATGTTCAGCTGACCACGCCGTGACCGGTGCACACAGGACAGCGCAGCCGACCACGTCAGTAGGCGGAACTATGGTCAAGCGTGCCCATTTTTGGGAACGCATTTTCGTTCCCATGTTTGGGAACGATGAACTCAAATATAGGAACGCCATGTAGGCATTATTTAACCCTCGCCGGACCTATTCGTTTTCTACATACGCGCCGGCCGAGGGGGGGGGGGGTAAGAGCCCCCCTCGCCGTTTCGCCCCTGGTGGAGCTAGCGCGTTGCGGAAAAAACGAGCGTGTGCGCCGTTACGAGACGCAGAGATTGGTACCCGATTTTAAGGTCCTAGGTCAACCGGTGACCTCTGAGTTCAGGTCAAGTGCCGCAAGGCACGGTTCAGTTTTTGGTGAATAACTTCGCATAAAACGGCCGCAGAGCCGCGATTTTGGCAGCATCGTGTTCGCCTCGCTCAGGCGCGTCGAATGATATACTTTTTGTCCGGGCAGGTCAACTTGGGGTGTTGACCACAGGTCAAGGTCAGGTCAGCACCCCCAGGTCACGAAGTTGGTCGAAAGAGGTCATGTCGCATATCATTCGATTCGGCTGGTCTTTCTGAGTCCAATGGTGGCTTTCCCAACTCGCCAGCTCAATATGACCAAGAGTTATTGACGAAAAACGAATATGACCTTGATGACGTCATAAATGACGTCACGCAAGGTCAACATTGCAAAAGTGACGCATCTAACCTTGCAAGGAGTGCATCAAATCACGATTCTGTGTGCTTGAGATAGTTGGAGATCGTTCCCGGCGCCAGAATAGCAGTTTTCATTTTTCCCCATTGACTAATAATGGTGAGGTCACGAAAATGACCTGACCTCATATGACCTTAATTGGTTGACCTTCCAGGTCAGGTCAATGACCCAAAGTCGGGAAAATCGGGACCTGTTAGAAAGTCGTAAAGTGTGGCTGCTAAGGGGTTTTTCGGGGTGCTGATCACGAATATCGTGTTAGTTTTGATCACAGATGATGTCTTGAAGCATTTAGACCAGGTCGGGTCAGGTCAGGTCAGGTCAACCAGTAGGCGTCGTGACGGGTATTCGTAGTACGTGTCAACCGCCTCTGACAGCTTCCTAACATGTTACGAAGTCACCAAAACTACTTCGTAAATGTTCAAATGGTTGCTAAATTCGAATTCAGCTCCAAAAACTAGCCTAGAAACATGTAAAACTCGAAAAAGTGACCCGAGGTCACCCGAGGTCACCAAAGGTCAATGACCTGACCTGACCTTCAGGTGACCTTTACACACACGGGAGTAACATCAAATCACATGTTTGAACGTTTGAAACCACGAAAAGCTTGCAAACACGCGGCTAGTGCGAGCCGACATACGCGAAATCGCTATTCCGGCCAAACATGGTCTCGGAAAAGAGGTCACAGGTCAAAGGTCATTTGGGTCAGGGTCATGAAATTTTCAGGGTAGGTGTAAAATTGATCAATGCGAGGGTACTGAAAGTTTCGTCGCGATCGGCCGCTTTTTACGCGAGTTATTCGCGAAAAACCATGGGGGGTCCATCCGACCCCCCCCCCTACACATGCGAGGGTTAAGCCACTAATAGGCAACCATGGTGAATCAACTCCCGTTCTCAGCTTTGTAAACGGACTTTCGGCATGGTTTTTGCTGGAGAGCTTCAGCAGCTCATCTGCAAGCAGTTAGGATTGAGCAAAGCGCAATTATATCAGCTAACGAAGCCAGAGAGAGCAAGAGATAAACCTGATTGACAAGCTTGGGCTCGGCCAAAAAGGGCCATGCACCAGTTGTCAAATAAGTGGTTGCTTGTCATAGACAACAAACGTCACCGATCTAGCTAAAAACTAGCTAAACAATAGATCAGGATTATATATGTTACAGGCAAAGTGAAAACTCGGGCATTTTGCAAAATGCCTAGGCAATTTGCAAAATGCCTGACCCGCCAGGCATTTTGCAAAATGCCCAGGCAGTTTGCAAACTGCCTGACCCACCAGGCATTTTGCAAACTGCCTAGGCATTTTACAAAATGCCTGACCCACCAGGCATTTTGCAAAAGGCCTGGGTCTTCATATATTCCACCGTTTTTGTTGACTACAGGCGTTGATCATACGTTCCACTGTGACTGACCCCACAACACATTTCACATGTGTTGTGGGCACATGTGACACATTCCACGGTCACGAATACAGGGTGTCACGAAATTGTTGCGGGATGTTGTACTTGTGTCCCGAAATGTATTGCATCGTAATTGCGTCAGTGTTCTCCAGCACCTCGCTGACAAGTTATCAGCGGCCACATGGTCTGTCCCCGCGGCACCTGGTGAAGCTCAAATAGGCCTCTGTAGCCCATCATGCCCCAAACGAGAATCCCCAGTGCCCAGTGGGTGCTTCACCGTCTCGACGGTGCAGCGCCTCTGAGCTGCTGTTGGCCCAGAACTGCTTGTCGGGACGGTTAGTGACTAAGAAGAGCTCTAATAGCCGTTTTCACGACGGGCTATCCGGCGAGTGCACCTAATTTGACCAAATCTGCACCTAATCTCTTTTACAGCAAATATCTTTATTTTATGAATTTATTTCAGTGTTTTAACCGATGATGCTCTCTGATAATATGACAAAGGAGGCATATAAGCAATTAGTACAACCCTAGCTGATAACTACTAAGAGACACACTGAACCTAATTTGACCAAATATGCACCTAATCTGCACCAGATGTTAACCAAATGTGTACCAGATGGCCGTCGTGAAAACGGCTAATATCGGCTAACGGCCTCATCTATAAAAAGTCTGAATCTCTATATAGTCCTGAATGGTCCAGATTTGGTGGGTTTTGTCGAAATCCAGCTGCACCACTTATGGATGACGGTAAGTTAGGGTTGCAGCCTGAGGTTGAGCGGCTACAGCTTCAGGGTAAAATCTTCAGATACCGGGAGATGGCCGATATAGATGCCAAGTGCCCTGGTCCAGATGCCCTGGTGCCGAACCCGTTCAAATTACATCCATTCAGCACTCAGGAGGGGCATGGAGGGACAAGACCGCGCCAACCGCGTATCAAGTTCGTGACACTCTGAATACCTACGTCTTGCGTCAATTCTGTCGAGATGGAGCCAACGCTGAATGGACTTGAGCCACCGTCTCCGTACCTTTCGTATATACGGAGTTGTAGTCGTGTGTATAAAAGCTGCGATGTGCAGTATTCTGCCCTGGTGGGCAACTGTTCCGGCAGAGACGATTGATAATGTACCTAAACGTGTAACAATCAAATTTTCGTGAATTGGAAGAGTATTCTTTTCTGATCAATATCCACCCTTAGTATTTTCAAAAAGCCACCAAGAGCTCTTAGAAACAGTACAATCATTGTACCGAGCGCATGTTTACGCACGAAACCACGCCCGGTGCTCGGCACCCGACGGCCGCTGGGGCTCAGTGACCTGAACTCGGCGGCGCTACCCGGAGAACGCAGTGACCCATCGCTTGGTGCGCATTGACAGCGATTAACTTTTGTAAGCGGCAGTTACAAATGATGCTTACCTATACATCGTCGCTAGTGCGAGTTTGATGTCAGGCATTTTGCAAAATGCCTGGGAAAATATTTCAGGCAGTTTGCAAAATGCCTGGTGGGTCAGGCAGTTTGCAAACTGCCTGGGCATTTTGCAAAATGCCTGGCCGGTCAGGCAGTTTGCAAACTGCCTAGGCATTTTGCAAAATGCCCGAGTTTTCACTTTGCCTGTAACATATACAAAACATCAGTCTACTTTGCACCACTATCTTCGACAAAATTTTGGAATTTGG